TTCTTATGTATTATTCTGTGTCATTTGGATTAAGTATTACTACTTACTAGGAATTCCTTCGAGGTCCAGATATCTTCAGTTTATGTGATTTGTAAAACTCCCAAGGCTTTCATTTCTAAATTAACAACAAAACATTTTACAGTTACCATACTTTAAAATAAACTTTCAAGTCACATAGGTAGTTTTTGTTAGTTCAGCCTAGAAAAAAGGCGGGGGGGGGGGGCGAAAAGCTTTTCATTTTAAAAGAGTAATCCAAAAATGTCAGGGTAAAATAGTTGACACAGAGGTAATCCAATGGTGTCTATAATCTGTATCCTCTAAATGTTTGATGCGCAGTGGGATTTTCTCCTTACAGACTCATTACATAGTACTTAAATATTATTTATGTGAAGAATGAAGTAAAAATGTACAGCTGAAATTTTCAGCTTATACCCTCTCAAATAAAAACAGTACACTGATCAAAAGTAATTAAGACTTTCAGATATTATGTAGAAATTTGTTTTCAGCATGTTTTTAGAAGACTGATTCCCTACCCCTATCCCCCACTGAGCAAGTGCCTACTTTTTCTTATCCTAAAAAAAATCTGAAGAAGACATGTTGGAGTAAAGGTAATTTCTATATGCTTGATGTAGAATTTACTGTGGATGGTTAACATATTTTCTAAGAAACCTATGTTCTGTTGATCAGGTCACCTTTTAAAGAAGTAACCCTGAAAGGGATGAAGTGTGGCTATAAATATTTTTAAGCCCTTTATATAGTTTCATTTGAGAGAATCATTGTAAAGATTTCAACATTTTTGTATTTAGAAAAATCAATAAAAATTGAAGTGTGTATGTGGAAGAACTTGTAAAGTAACAGCAACATTAGAAGGCCCTTGTGGGATAGATGGTTTAAAGGGCTCTGATGCTGGAGCTGCTCCTTGTCTCACTTGCCTTCAAGTGAAGTTCAATTGTAAGGAAAAACATTTCTTCCTTCAATAGTTGTTGACTGGGAAAAGGGAGGTTAGAGCTTACAGTACTAACAGCTGGCCAGAGTTTTCTTTTTCAGAGTTCCTTTTGTGGAAGCACCAGGCAAAACAGATATTCTCAGCATTATTCTCATATTGCAGTCATCTTTCTGAATGACTCTTGGCCTATTAGAATAACTTTTTGAGGTCTAGGACCCAGACAGAATCCTCCCCATATCCTCAGAGCCTAGAATAGTAGCTGGAATTTGGAGACATTTGTCATTGATCCACAGATTAGAAATGTCTACTTCAAGTGTATTCCTGATTTCTCAGCTTCATAATGTATCTGGGACAATCTGTTATTCCCTCAGGCTCTCATCTGGTCTCACAGTGGAACTACACTGGATAATTCACTGAAGGCTTTTCCAATTCAAAGTGGTTGATGAGCCATAGTAGGTGTTCAATAAATATTTGTTGACTAGAGGAATTGATGAACCAATAAAACCCTATTAATAAGATTTTTTTTTTTAGGTGAATGGCATAGATGTTGTTCAGATTTACTTTGAAAGAATCAACTTTGTGAACCCAATGATGAATGGAATTGTGAAGCACAGATGAGCTATTTCGCACTCCAAGGACACAGCTCACCCTATGCTTTTGGACACTTCTTCCCTGTTTATTGCAGTAACTGTTCTCCAGGTTGTTGCACTACCACTGTATCTGTACAGAATTCTAACTTGGCACCTGTGGCCTTTTTTGTGCTTTTATGATTATGTGTCTGTATTTGCCACCAGATTATATGCCCTTGAATGCAAGGAACTTGTTTCCTTAGTCTTTTTTATATATCTAGCACATAAGATATTGCTTAGAATATGGTAGACATCACTGAAGATTTGTTTAAGTAATTCATATTTTGTAATTATACTGAATGGTTAAACAATCTGTTTCTAATCTGTCTAGCATATATGTGACTTTTGCTTACAAGTGTCACACAACTGCTTCAAGGCAGCTGTGAGATAGTAGAAAGCAAAAATTTGTCTGTGTCATCCCAGACATGTGCCTCCAGATGGCAGTATACTACACCATCTATAAAATATATTAGCAAAGCCAGGCACAGTCTTGTGCATCTGTAGTCCCAGCCACTCAGGAGGCTGAGGCAGAAGGATTGCTTGAGCCCGGGAGTTTTAGTCTAGCCTGGGCAATATAATGAGACCCCGTCTCCTAAAATATTTGCCCAAGCATTGAACCTAAATTTGACCATGCCCCTAGAAATAATTCCTAGTCTTTAGAAAATACAGAGGGCAGAGAAACATTATTTTATACCATGGAGATGAGATCAGCAGAATCCAGACTATAAGAAACTACAGAACACATGACCCAGTTTCTTCTTTAAATAATTTACAAGGATAAAAGAAAGAGATGAAGGATGAACCTATATATTAAAAGAAATTTAAGAGACATATTAACCAACTGTATGGATCTTATTTGAATTGTTATTTGACCGAACTGTAAAATGAATACATTTATGAGACCATCGGAGTTATTTGAACATTGGTGAGATATTTGGTATTAGGATAATGGTTTTATCATTATGTTAGAAAGAAAGATCCTCATCTACGTTCTCAAACATTTGTGGTTGAAATGATATGATTCCTGGAATTTGCTTCAAAATAGTAAGTCTGGCTGTTAAGTGCATTGGAAATACTGATGAAGTGAAATTGGCCGTGATAATTGTTGAAGCTGCGTGATAGCTAACATGATGGTTCATTATATATGTTCATCTCTATTTTTGTATGTTTGACATTTTCCATAATAAAGTTTATAAAAATAATTACTGGAGTTCTTATTAAGGCTAATATATGAGGTAAAGAAAAAAGGAAAAATTTTAGATTGTTTAAAAAACATTGGCTGCGGCATATGCTTCTGGCCCAAGAGGTCAAATGCCCACAAAGAGAAGGGAGAAATACCCTGGAGTAGCTAGCAGTTCCCTTGCTGTAGACCAATGTTAGCAGTTTTTTCTTTTAATTTGGCCCATTGAAATAGGAAAAGCTAAATTCTTATTTATTAATACTGGAAAATAATAATGGAATCTTACATGCTGTTGAGCAGGGGTTTTGCCAATACCTACATACCAGTTCATACAAATGTGAAAAATCAAAGAGGTGGGGTCTCCAAGGAGCATGTTTATGGAATTGTATAAAAACCTATATAAGCCACTTTTTAAAATAGTTTTTAGAGGAACAATAGCTGTAGATTTGTTAGTTGCACATAAGTTTAAAGTTATATTTGAAGGTAGGTAAAACAGTAAATTAAGCAGTTAACACTCCTGACTCCAGTGAACCATTTTGCATTTCACAGACTGCAGATACTCCTTCAGTTCTAGACTGTGCTTAAAATTCTGTAAAGGCTAAAACCTTCTAGGTCAAAGTTTGTGAAGCTGTGTTTATTACATCAACAAACATGGAGTCTGTCCTGATGTTTTTGGGAGTTAAGAAAGAAGAGGCAGAAAGTGAACAGCATTAAAGGTCCCTTCTAGGGAAGATGAATTCCTTCTTAAGTGTGAAGTACTGAAGCTGAAGCTGCCCCTTCTACTTCTGTTCTTTAAGTGTGTTCCAATTCCAGGACCAAGTAGCTCCCTAGAACCAACTGTTACCAGGAAACGGGGAGGTGAAAAGTTTACCTTAGAGCCCTTTACCAGTCATAGCTGGGCAGAGCTTTCAGTTCCAAGATTCCCCTGTGAGAAGGCACCATGATATACCAGAAAAGCTTTCATCAGGTTTTCCCTGGAAGTTGTTTTCTAATTTCAGTCTACTCTGATTGTAGCAGATTTTTAAGTTTGGAGGCAAGCAGAGCCAGGGTAGCTGTAGTTGGTGGATGTAAATTAAAACAATTAGTGATTTGGGATCCAAAAAGTTATGCTCAAAGCTGTCTTGACCAGAGGCTGTATGGCCTCTGTCAGATTAGTTTACCTCTCTAATTTTTGATTTTCTCATCTGTAAATCTGTGGTAATTATAGTCCCTACTTTTGTAAGTCACTGCTTCTGAGAAGCCCTTCTTGATACTTTTTTTTAAAAGTTCTTTCTTCATAGAGATGGGATCTTGCTCTATCACCCTGACAGGAGTGCGGTGGCATGATCATAGCTCACTGCAGCCTCAAATTCCTGGGCTCAAGCAATCCTCCTGCCTCAGCCTCACAAGTAACTGGGACTACAGGTGTGTGCCACCACACCTGGCTTTTTTTTGTTTTTGTTTTTGTAGAGAGGGAGTATCACTATGGCACCCAGGCTGGTCTCAAACTCTGGGGCTCTAGAAATCCACTTGCCTTGGCCTCCCAAAGTGCTGGGATTACAGGTGTGAGCTACCATGCCCAGTATGTTTTGTTATAGTTCTTATCAAAATTATACTTATCAGCCTGGATGTCTCCGCCTTTGTAAATTCTGAGGTCCACTGGCTCTGAGACCCAGACTGGGTTGTCTCTGTGTCTGCTCAGAGTCTGGCACAGAGCTTGGAATATGGCATCCCACAGATGTTCCTAACATGTTTTATTAGATAAATGGTTGTCATGCCTCCTACTTTTGAAAAACACATTGCTGTTATTTTACCAGGTATTTGTTTACCAGAAAATATGAAAACTTAGATACCATAAGACTGTGATCTCTGGTCAAGTTTCTCTTTTAAGTTTCCCTTTATTGGGAAGAATATTTAATCCATAAACCATGCCTTTATTTTTCAAGATTTTCTAATACCAATATATTCCTAACTACTTAGCTTCATAAAGTACTGTGTAATACTCCCTTAGGTGCTAAATTGGCCCCACAGCTGCATTTGATAATTCACTGAAGACTTAAGGCTTTCCTAATACAAATGATTTAAGAACATGGTAATCCTTCAGTATTTATTTAATTTAAGAACCTTTAAATAAATATAGGTATCCTATTTTAATTTACAGGTAAAAGATATAGATAGCAATTAGGATCATATGGTAACAAGCTCATATAGACAAGGCCAAGGCCTGACTGATTTGACTGGTAAAGGTTGACTGGTACAAGGAACCACTTTTAGACTGAGACAGTTTATTACTTACATAAACAGTACAAAGAAGAATGAACGAAAGAGGCCAACTCCCCGGGTCCATGTCTCACATACCCTAAAAGACAAAAAAGAAACAAAAGGGGCTGGATGACTATAATGCAATTTGTGGGATACTCCCTGGCTGAGGATCAAATCTATACTGCGGCTGAGTGATTTTATATTCTGCAGCTCTATTCTAAAGGGCACAGGACAGAAAGCTCCATACCTCATCGGAATCTGGTAGGTGATGAGAAATTCATGTAAGACAGCCTCTCAGGAGAGAGAGGGAAGTGACTGAGAGAAGGCCTTATAGCAGCTCCTTACAGCTTCTGATCTTTTCATGTTCTGGGAGTATCACAAGGCATTTAACCAAAACTCAGATTAGCTGCAGTTCAAGCCTATATGGATACACGCAAGGGTGTCAGGCCATTACGGAGGAGCCATTCCCCTACAACTCCACTCCCTTTCATATATCCACCTAAGGATTCCTTTTACAAATATAAGCCACCTGTTGTGGCCACTCTCAAGATAAAAAATGGACCCTATGCAAAATTTGGTTCAGATATCAAGAGTGATAATGCCATACACACATCAACAGGGTATTCAAAGGTTTATTATGCACATAACGAGGTTTTTTTTTGGGAGAGCAAGGCAGGCTTCGAAAGCTGATCTGAAAATGTCTTGATAGAGCTACAGCTTTTATGGTGTTTAGGGGTGCTGGGGTGAGGGTTCCAACGTGCAGCTGGGGCTTCATTTGAAACTCCTATCAACAACAAAGGAGAGAGCCCCCAGGAATTTCAAATGCAGGGCTTAAGGAGAACTGGGGTGAAGCTTAAATGCTGTCAGCAGTCGAAAAAAAAAGAGAGACAGCTTCCTTATTGCAATTACTCCTGATGTTTGAGAAACAAAATGTACTATGTTTTTGTAATTGAATTTAAACAGATTTAAATAAGTCTTTATGGTGCTCTGTGAGGTCTGTAGCCTGATACCTATAAGATGGAAGTTCCATCAATTGACTCATTCTAGAGCTCAGCACTGTGTATTCTGAGAAGTGAAATGAATGCCTTGGTTGCAATAAATAACATCTGGAATTCTGACGGCAATAAGGAATGTCTTAATGAGGCCTATATTATAGTTTTATTATATGTAAAGGCATGTGTGGTATTGACTTATATTTGGGTATCTGAGGCAAGAGATTCCCAGAGTTCCATACCCCAAAAGGGACATGGGATAAGGAATTTATGTTGCTGCCATTGGTCAAACCAGACAATCATATAATTGGCAATAACCTAAGGGTCTAAATATTTACAGAGGGGGTCAATTAGTGACCAAGGCATCCACTGTTAAGATAAAGGCCTGAAGCTTGGCCGATTGTACTGATCCTTGGGTCCAGTTCTTTGTCAGAGACATCCTAACTAAGGGATTAAAAAAAAAAAAAAAAAAAAAGCAACAATCCACTGAGCTCCATTATGTTGATTATGACAGTGTAACCATACAGTGGACAAACTCCCATTATTCTTCATTCAGGTGATTCTACAGGGGTCCCTAAGCAGACAGAGTCTGGTAAAGGGGTGGCTTCATCCAGTACCATGGCATGTGGCAAAGGACTGAGGACAGGGGAGGCCAACCCCATCTGTAAGTGTGATATGCCAGGGGGCCCAGGTTTGGTTCTATCCTGTAACAAAGAGACTTTGGTAGCTATAATAAGTTTGTAGGGTACTGCTTCCAAGACCCAAAGCATAATTAGCTGGAAATGGAAGGTTATGAGTCGACGGTCTATGAGAGCCTCTATTTCCATAAGACTCCAGTATGTAGCCAGCTGTTGCCACTCTAACGATATATATATCTATATATATATATAGATATATATATATATAGATATATACACACACACACACATATATCATAAGACCTATGAAAGCAGTTTCTTACATCAGTAGGTCCTGAGCAACTTATGGCCATCATGGATGTTACAAAGACTCCAAGAGGCATTGGAAGAGGTTGCTAAAGCCTCTATAGTGAAGAAGTCTCAGGGTGGGAGTGGCACTAATATGGTTGAAAAAATTCTAGAGTCTTTCGCTGGGATGGGGCCCCACTCAAGGTGAGCCTATTGTGCAAGTAATAGCAAAAATGGGCCAAAGTAAAAATTGTAAATGAGGAAAATGTTGCCTCCAGAACCCAAAAAGGCCCAAATACGTTGGGCTTGCTTTAATGTTGACAGGGATGGAACAGCCCTCATCTTACCAATAATTTTCAGGAATTTAAACATGGTGGCAAGGCTTTGTCCTATGTGTGGTAAACAGTCCATCCCCTTTTTGTGAGCTCCTTCTTAGAATATTTGTATGTCCTGAATGAGTGTTCTAGAGAAATCTCTTAGAAAAGGATGCCATCAATGCAGTGTCATATCAGTGCTCCTGGAGAAAATTAGATGCAGTTAAGGTCTTGCCTGCAAAGACTGTGAGATAGCAGAGCTGTCGAGGTACCTTCTAAGTAGCCAGGGTAAAGGTCTATCATTTCACTTTGGAGGGGAAGGAAAACAGGCAGAGGGGCTATTGAAATACGCACTAAACAGAATGTATTAACCAAATATACAATAGAAAAACATTTATCAGTTGCTGACTGGATGGAGTAAATAATTTCCATTGTAATGATGATTAGGGGGTCTTACTTGCTGGGACCACAGCATAAAGGCTGTGGTAATTCATCAAGATGTCTCATTCATTCTTTCCAAGTTGAGTAACAGGCCAAATTAAGCTTTTAAATGGAGAAGCAGTGGAAATAATCACCCTCTTCTCTAAATAGACCTTGTAAAATGGGTTTCAATCCTTTGAAGGCTCTATCTTGAGCTAAGAGCCATTGTGTTGTCAATATCTGACACTGAGCTCTCTTAGCTCTGTATATCGTGGGTGAGTTTTTCATGAAGGCCCATTTTCTTGAGTCAGTTTATAAATGCTAAAGGCTTAATAAAATTTTGATTTATTATTTAATGAGTCAGAGAGTCAATGCCCACTAGTGGATATTTTAGGGCAATGGATGCTATAACAATGGGGAATTTAGTCAAGACAACAATTATTATGGTTAAGGGAAGACCTACATGTTTGTCCTCTATTTTATGTTCAGTAACTACCCTAAGATTATAGGAGTTACCATGTGTATTAGGGTTCTCCAAGGAAACGGAATCAATAGGATGGGTATACATATACAGAAGCAAATTTATTATAATGACTTAATGAGATTACGGAGTCTAGGGTGAGTCCCAAATCTGCTATGTGGACCGGCAGCCTTGAGACCCAGGAGAGTTCATGCTACAGATGAAGTCCAAAGGCAGTCTGTTAGAGTATTCCCCCTTGCTCAGCGAAGCCAGCAATTTTGTTCTACTCAGGCCTTCAGTTGATTGGCTGAGGCCCACTCATATTGTGGAGAGCCATCTGCTTACTCAAAGTTCACTGATTTAAATATTAATCTCATCCCAAAACACCCTCCAAGTTGCCATATAACATTGACCATCACAGGTCCACCCCTCGTCAAATTGGTACCCGTACACATCTTAAACCATACTTTGTCCCCCCAAAAATACAATAATAAGGCCATACTTCTACTTAACATGATACAACTCTCCTGCATGCAATGGAAAATGAATAAACTTTTCCCCAGAAGAAGACACACAGTCTTTTCATTTAATCTCTTTGAGATCTCATAAATACTGTGATAAAAAGTTCATATATCTTGTGTTACATGAAAATGGGACAAGAAGTCCTTGCCCATGCCTATGTCCTGGATGGTATTGCGTAGGGTTTCTTCTAGAGTTTTAATAGAGTTAGGCCTCATGTTTAAATATGTAACCCATCTAGAGTTAATTTTTGTATAAGGTGTAAGAAAGGGATCCAGTTTCAGCTTTCTGCATATGGCTAGCCAGTTTTCCCAACACCATTTATTAAACAGGGAATCCTTTCCCCATTGCTTGTTTTTGTCAGGTTTGTGAAAGATCAGATGGTTGTAGTTGTGGGTGTTCCTTCTGAGGCCTCTATTCTGTTCCATTGGTCTATATCTCTGTTTTGGTATGAGGACCATACTGTTTTGATTACAGTAGCCTTGTAATATAGTTTGAAGTCAGGTAGTGTGATACCTCCAACTTTGGTTTTGTTTTTTTTTTCTTTTCTTTTTTATTTATTTATTTTTTTGCTTAGGATTGTCTTGGCTGTGCAGGCTCTTTTTTTGGTTCCATAGGAAGTTTAAAGTGTTTTTTTTTTTTCCAAATTCTGTGAAGAAAGTCAATGGTAGTTTGATGGAGATAGCATTGAATCTATAAGTTACTTTGGGCAGTATAGCCATTTTCACAATATTGATTCTTCCTAACCATGAGCTTGTAATGTTTTTCCATCTGTTTGTGTACTCTCTTATTTCCTTGAGCACTGGTTTGTAGTTCTCCTTGAAGAGCTCCTTCCATGCCTTGTTAGTTGTATTCCTAGATATTTTATTCTCTTTGTAGGGATTGTGACTGGGAGTTCACTCATGACTTGGCTCTCCATCATTGGCGTATAGGAATGCTTGTGATTTTTATACATTGATTTTGTATCCTGAGGCTTTGTTGAAGTTGCTTATCAGCTTAAGGAGATTTTGGGCTGAGACGATGAGGTTTTCTAAATATATAATCACTTCATGACTAAAACACCAAAAGCAATGGCAACAAAGGTCAAAATAGAAAAGTAGGATATAATTAAACTTAAGAGCTTCTGCACAGCAAAAGAAACTATCAATAGAGTTAACCGGCAACCAATAGAATGGGAAAAAATTTTTGCAATCTACCCATCAGACAAAGAGCTAATATCCAAAATCTACGGAGAGCTTAAACAAATTTACAAGAAAAAAACAACCCCATCAAAAAGTGGGCAGAGGATATGAACAGACACTTTTCAAAAGAAGATATTTATGCAGCCAACAAACATATGAAAAATGCTCATCATTCCTGGTCATTAGAGAAATGCAAATCAAAACCACATTGAGATACTACCTCACACCAGTTAGAATGGCAATCATTAAAAAGTCAGGAGACAACAGATGCTGGAGAGGATGAGG